CAGAGGAGGACGGAGCAGGCGCCTTTGATCTTGTCAAGCTTGTAAAAGGCGATCGGAGTTCCCCCTCTCGCACCGCTGAGCAAGACCCTTCCTCGGACGATGGGCAAGAAAAATGCCAAAAGGTGTGCCAAGACTCGGTGTCCAGCACGGCTGCTCGGACCTCCTCTAGCCACCCAGCTTCTCTTCTGCTGAAGAAGGATTCCGAGTTGCTGCCCACGGCTTGAGATATCTACATTAAGCATGTGGCTACTTTGTAAGTATCTTCATAGATGAACTGCTAACTTGAGGTGCCTTTAGGTTTTATTCTTCAACATGTCTTGTACTGCACACCGTCGAGCGATCTAGACACTGACCTAACCGGCGCCCCTTGGCTCTCTGAACGTGTCTCTCGAGTCTCGACACCACCCTGTGTACTATGATGGGGGCATTGATGGCCATGCTAGTCACTCAGGCTCCTTCGCCTCCTCCGGACTTCACCTTCATCTTTGCAGTCGAGGAGGACGAGCACATCGGAGAAGCCAACCAGCCGCCCACCAACGACTTGACACTGATACATCGTGTCATTTCACCTAACATGTCTGCCACCGACGCCTTCCTGCAACATCTAAGCAATAGGTAGCCATGCTGGAAGCAGAACTTGGAGCTAGCCAGCATTAGGCCTAGGCTGACTGGGAAGAAGCCCGGAAGACAGCCACCCAACTTTTGCAAGAGTAAGAGGCAAGCCAGGCTGCCTGAGATGTGATTGCCCTCCTCTAGCAAGACCTCAGCAAACTTCATGACCTAATGAAGGATGAGAATGCTAGCTTGGCTGAGGACCTTAAAAAGGTCATATATGATTGAAGGATAGGCAAGACGGTGTTATTGTAGATGGTAAGGCATATATTCTTGAATGCATTTTTGATGTCAAGGTTATGCAAATCTGACTCAAGTTTTGCTTGCCTCAAACTCTACTGATCTCCCCCAAAGTGCAGATCGTGAGTTCTTCCAAGGGGGGATATGATCCGAAACATGGGAAATACCAGGCCTTCTGGGCGCAGTTCTGGGACATCACCCACCTTGTCATCCATGGAGATTGGATTAAGCAAAGTGGCGAGCTACATGTGCTCGTGAGTCCGGATATGGGTCAATCTCATAAATATTTATCTAACCAGATGCTTGACTACTATAGCGATCAATGAGAAACAAGTCAGATGATGCGCTGATAGATGCACGCAAGAAGCAATTCCTAATCAAATGAGATGCAAGCCCAAATCAACGAGATGCATGCCTAGATAAAGAAATTCAAGACGTTGCACCTTGCACTTCTGGTTGTTGTTATGATTTGGTGCATACTCTCTGCATCAGCAGCATGTTCTTGTGGGATCCATTACAGGTATAACATTCTAGGTTTATGCAATTAGATAGAGGGACAATTAGAAGTGATGGTAGCCTTGCACTAAAATGTTATTCGTAATATGTACCCTAGATCAGTAACAAACATTTTTATTGTGCAACATTGAATTTGATTTGTATCTTGGATTAAGTTACGTATTAATATGTTATGAAAAGTATGTTCGGACTAAGTTTGTATGCAGGCATTTGAAAAAGAAACAACAAAATAAAATATGGGGGTGGGGAATTAAGTTTTGAAGGATGGGCTAGATGGACAAAAGTGTCTCAAATATGGGTAATTAAGTTATGGGGATGTGCTCGAGATGCTCTTACCCAAAAGTGTCTCAAAAGTGTCTCAAATTTAGGCTTAGTTTGAAGTCGTTGAAGTGTGTTCTGACATGCTTCTTTTATAATCAAAAGTTGAAACAAAAGCGGGGAAAATAGGCCGAACAAACAAAAAATAGGCACAAACATGTTGTCCAATTTATTACAAAATTTGCACACTCCAAGTAAGGACCGGAATATGTTGGTGAATGTTCACTTCTCTTCCACATTGCGTGCCAAATGACAACATGAGGCTATGCTTTCATATAAAAAACACTTCATGTGTGCAATTGGCTTCCTACTTTCTTAGGGCATCTCCAAGGCGGACCCATATACCTCTCGCAACCGTCCGGACCGTGCTGTCCGGACCGCGGAAGACATCCAACGCCGAACTGTATCGGTCTGCAAGACAGCCAGGACGCGATTTCTCCTGC